GATGTGAATGGGCATTTTTCTTTCTGATCCCTTACCACAGACCCTATCACGGATCACTGCCCAAGATTAGAGAGTCAGCTCTGACTTCTCTGGTCCTCTAGTTAGTGTGGCGGTGGTAAGTTTTTGAAGGCTTGTAGTATTAAGAGTAAAGGCGGCTGAAAATAGTTAGAAAATGGGAAAATTCATTTTGATCATAATTGGAATTTCATTTGAAATTTGTCTGGAAGGATCTCTACGATCTCTAAATTTCATGAACTGATCCAAAACCCCCCTTCCTCCCCCATAAGTGCAAGTAAAGATTTTTTTTTTTTTTTGGTCCAGCCATCTGAGTCTGGAAGTAGCAGTTTTCAGGCAGCAGATGATGGGTCAATTATTATCCAAAGGCAGCTCTGATGCAAAGCGCCTTGCTCCTTTTGCTAGATTTACTCTTGACCAGAGACCATTCTTCCCGTGAGTTCTCATGGTGTACTCAGCTTTCTTCCTGGCTCCAGCGTCTCCGCAGGTCTGGATGAAATACGCTGAAAAGAAGGATCTTCCACACCTAGATCTGTGAATTCTCTTAGAGGTCTTGCAGATCCTTCACACTCCTTAGCTGTATCAGACTAGCACTGAATAGCAGTCCATGTCATTAACAGCCTTTTGAAGGCTTTTGCTGAAGCAGGCTCTCCAGCTAGGACGAGGAATGCGTTACACCTCATGCCTGTATGCCATGAAGTTCAGCTGCGTTCTGCGGAGGCCTCTGAGTTGCTGCGTGCCAGTAACATTGACAACTCGAGCTATGAAGGCCGTACTTCACGCACGCGTTCTCCCCAGAACATGCCAAGTAAAATGGGCAAACTGTACATCTCCCAGAAAAATCCTTTTGCCACCATCTGATGTAACACTTTTCTTAATCTTCCTGGTCATTCTTATGGACTATATATAAATTATTGTCACTTTTGAGCAAATTATTCAAATGTAAACAGTAGATTTCCCCCATTTAAAACAGAAGTTTGTACAAACTGTATCAGTTCCCAAACTCTTAATTTGACATATTTTATAGGTCAGTTTCATAGGAAAAAAGAGAAAGCTTCTGTGTGTTTCAAAGCAACACTAACAAAAAAGTCAAATGTACACAAATAACAAAACCACATACTCAAAGCAGAAATAAGTTCCTACAGTAACATTTTCTGTAATAATTAACACAAGAACTCTACAATTTCAACTACATTAAATGCTATTGGAGAGAAAAGTCAAGATACCTAAGTAATATACATTGCTAAGCCGGGCAATAGACACCCATATAATTAGTGCTCTACATTTAAAAACAGAAGTCCATAAATAATTCAGCTATTTAAGTTTTCTCTGACTTGGCAGATTACACTCAGGACTGAAAAATTCCCACACAGATGCTTACCGCTGCAATACAAGAGTTAGTACAACATATTTACTTCCCTTGTTGAGGAAGAGCATTTGTGTGCAACTAGGAGACTTATTTCTGATAAATCACAGGTCAAATAAAAATTGCAATTCTAATTTAGATCTTAAGACCCAGATTTCTACTTTAACATTCTGTAGAGCTGCAGAGAACATCTGTAATAAGTAAAACTCACAATTTACGAATATCAACATACAAGTATGGGAAAGTTACTGATTATATTTAGCAGAAAGGGAAACTTATTGCAGATTAACTGCAACACATTTATACAGAGTAAATAACTTACTTGAGAATTAGCCTTTAACCTGAAAGTCTTATCACCACAGCAGTGGAGACAAAAATCTGTCATGTAGTCGAATTTTTAGTAGCACAGATGCCAACATTCTAATTCTAAAATTTATATTCAGTTTTAAAAAAAAAGCCTAAGTCACAACCTCCATCACCTAACTTAAAAAAACAGGTAAGCATACTGTAAGTGAAAAGTAGTTAGCTGTGACCAAAACAATTATTTATATTATCAACACAGGTAGGAAATCTGGTTTTAGGGCCAGGACATCTCACTATGCTTGGCACAGGGTAAACAACAAAAAGGTGATCAATCACAGAAAAATCTGGCATTCTAGGTCTAAGAGAAGAGCATGATGAGTGCAGATGGAGACAGGAGGAAGCCATGAAACCAACTGTGTGGTAGTGAATCTCAGTGCATCAACATCCCATCAGTCACCAGGTCTTAGAAAGCATGACAAAATGAAAGACGTAAGGAAGACAAAATTAGCTCCTCCCAAATGAGAATGGCAGCATGAAAGAAACAGTAAAATGAATACTCAAAAATTGAATTAGGGTGGTAAGATTGTCACTATGAGTCAGTCGTAGCTATGCATTAACATTTCAACAGCAAGGCATTCAACTAGATGTTAAACATCAGACTGCCTCTTATATTATACTCAGTAAAGCATAAAAGCACTTTTAAATAAATTATAACTTGAGCAAATCAGTGAAAAAATACATTGGTACAGCTCTAAAACAATCTTACTGCTTCTGTACACAGCTAACAGTAGCCATGGCTTTGTAGTTCTTTCAGCATATACTAGATAAATACCATAAAAACAGGCACTAGGATAAGAATAGAGTTTATAGAATCATGGAATCATTAAGGTTGGAAAAAATCTCTAAGAGCATCAAGTCAGCCACCCTATATACAGAGTGAGCAATCTAAAATGTTCTTAGCTGTGCCACACACAACTTGGATGACTAACACTAGGAAAAAAATGTTTATGGTATATGTGTTCATTTTATTTATTTTTCCATCTAACTCAAGCGTCACAAAGAATTTTTTAATCAGCATTAGACTCTTGTTTCCTTGTGTTTCAACTTGAAAAGCTTTGGAAAAGCTTTAAGTCAAAATCTTTTCTACTCATCACCTGCATTTCAAAGAAAATTCTATTAACTAAAAAAGCTTTCCAAATATTTTTTCCTGAATATATTTCCTAACACCCTTATTAGCAATTTAGCTTAAAATTTATCTGACATTTTAGATCCTCCCATGCAGCACTGTCCGAATATCACAACAGCACAACCACCTAATTAAATATGCATTTAAAAAAATTATCATCAAAGCTTTCAGCCAAAAAAATAGGTAAAAAAAAAAATCAGCATAAATGTTGACCAAGAAGTACCATTTGCAATTAAGAGTTTCTTATACAAATAAACAAAATACAAATCCAAGTCTTCTCTCTTCCCCCCTCTCAACAACTCCACAAAACAGAAGAGAAGCCCTGCAGTACATCACGCTTATGCCCTACCACAAACTCCAGCAAGTTGCATTATAGCACCACTAGGTAGCTGACAAAAAATAACACTTAGGCTTAAGGGAGAATAGAAAACAAGCGATGTCTGACAAAATTAAAGACAGCCTTCATCACATGAATAATTCTGTAAACACCAAGTATTTTCAAACACTAGCTCCTTCTGTAGTAATGCCTTCTCTGAAGAATGTTAACAATGAAAGTCTGAACAGCAGGCTTCAAAGTAAAAATGCAATCGTGCAGTTTTCGCTCCTCTGAACCTCTTCCATGTTATTACAGGCACTGCTGCCTGCCTGTTTCGACGCTTCCTGTAGACTTCCTAGGACTACGAAATACAACGTGCATATTTTTTTACTGCTCAACTAGGGATTAAAAAACATAATGCTGCCAAGGCAGTGTCCCTGGCTTAATTGGTTTATTGCTCAAGTGTTAATGAATGTAATAATGTCATTTCTGTGATGATTTTCTACGATGAAGACGTAGACGATTTTCTACGAAGAAGTAGGCACAATTACCAAGTTTCATAGAATGGTAAGGGTTGGAAGGGACCTTAAAGATCATCTAGTTCTGACCCCCCTGCCATCTTCATGATGCTGGAGGTGCCTCTAAAGCCCTCTGCTGTTGCAAATGTTTCTATCTGCAACTACCTCGCTGCTCTGATTTACGAGGCCAGCAATTTTTCTACCGTACGGTCTGCACCAAGGAAGCTTGTTTCCAACAAGAGACAGACGAAACAGCAGTGGGGAGGGAGCAGCAACTGGCCAAGACCTGGCGAGACAATTTCAATAAAATTTTGTGCTTGTAAAACCACTGAAATGCAAGTCATGCACTAAATGCACTAAAAACTTCCCTCACAAGAGCTGTAAAAGAAAACTTGAAAGTAGTAATCAAAGAATCATTTCAAATAACCACACTGCTTTCAAGCCACATCCTTGAAAAAAGCCAAACCAGGACCTTATCCTGCTCATGCCTACTCATGTTACTAAACCCTGCTGCCTACCTGCATAATCCTACAGATTTCAAGAATTATATAATCTGTAAATTCAGTCTTTTTTTTTTTTAAATATACTGCAAGTAGACTACAAACGCTTCATGTACCTGAAGCGCCTCATCTTCCATGGTTGTGTCTAAACCAGTTTCATGACACTTCACTCGGTCCACTGGCTGTGTTAATCAGCTGCTAACCTCCCTGCCAAGGCAGAAAGGTTCCTACTCAGAGCAATGCAGTACTGGAACAGCATTCCAACAGGTTCTCTTCACTAGGCCCCACTTCTTTTTTCCATGGAGCCTGAAATGTTTACTAACAGGACAATACGAAATGACCAGCCGGCATAGTAAGGCGCTGAATTCTGATACAGAAAATCTGTGCAGTCCTTCACACTACAATTGCAGGCACCTTGCTTGTATGCTGGGTAAATTTCATAGCAGCAGAACCCAGTGCATGAGCTTGCAGAATCTCCAAATAGAAACAAAGGAATAAATGGTTCCACCAATGCCATAATATGTTTTTTAAAATGTTCTCTAAAATTCATCACGTATTAAAAATGATGCCCACAAGTTGTAACCATTCTTAAGAGTTTGGAAGCAAGCCAGATTTTTGGTCACGAAATAAAGCTCGTTTCCATCATGTTATGTGACCTGGAGAAAGCAAAATAGCTTTTACACTTAGGGAATTGAATTTCACTGTTTTTAATTGGGTTGCTACACACACACACAATTAATAAACTAAAAGAATCTATTCCTTTAAAACACATATAAACAGAAGTAATTATCTTTACCAGATCCCAGTCTATGCTGCGGAAAAATGTATGAGACTTGATATCAGAAAATCCTGTCTGCAGCTGACAACCAAGCCTTTCTTTGGGATCCTGCGGAAAACACAGAAACTCGTATGACATACTCCAAGCCAGTTACAGGCCCTGTTTGTCAAGAGCCCACATACATGACTCCAGCATTCCTTATTACTACACAAGCTGCTGCTGAGATACACATATGACGGCTATCAAGGGATTTTTGTTCTTTTTCTTTTTAAATGAAGCTTATTTGAAATTTTTTTTAAATTATATTTTACAACTTTAAAAATAGATTTATTTAGTAATGTGTAATACATATGCTTCTTTCCATTAAAAATTATAATGGCTCTACAGATTTCAATCAGCTAAATAAAATGAATAGTAAGTATTACAGAAAAGAGTTTATAAACAAGCCTATCACTATGTTTTCCTCTAGGTGCAGGCTTTTAAATCAAGTGTGTGCTGTGGAATTCCCTCAGCAAATTAGCAACTAAGAAGTGGGTTTTTTTAACATACAGGATACCAAGGTTTTACAGATTTTTCTTAACAGTAAGCAGATTAACTTCTTAACCGTATTGCTTTCAACAGGAAGCTCTGACTTCCAGATCTTAGATGCTAAAAATAAGAGAATGTTATTTACCTTGTTTAAAAATCCTTTTAACACATGGGAAGCCTTGACAGAAAGAAACCTTGGAATCCGGATTGGCTTCTCAAGAATAACTGTTACAGGTTTAAAAACAGCAATACTGTTTTTTAGATTATGACATTGACCATGATTTCAATACAAACACTGTATTATTTAAATATGCTACCATCTGGAAAATGGGAAGATACAGAACTTATTTAAAATAATGCAAACAAAAGGTGCTACAGCAATTCAAGGCACTGTTACATTGACATTTCAACATTTCTAAAAGAAATGTTAGCGTCATTATCTTTTTCTATTATTTGGTATAAACAGGGAATAAAACTTATTCAGTGTCCACAGTACATGGAAAAGTGTGATTTCAAGGAATAGTTGTTTTGACATTAGGCTTGCCAAGACGACCATGGCAGATTCTGTTACATAACTGCAGTAACTGGTTTCGAGAATGGTTCTGCACATTGGGGAGTAGGCAGCTTCGCAATGCCCCAAGCTGTTACAGAGTTCCTATTGTAATCAACATGGCAACTATGACTACTTCTGTTTGAAAAATTCATATCACCATTCCTGAAAGGTAAAATTTAAAAAAATAATTCCATTCATTTCATCAGAAGTAAAAAAAAAAAATTTAAAAGTTATCTGGACCATAACTACAGGTTGGTATGTTTCTGTCAAGAAAGATCCTCTTATCCTCTCACGTAGCACTGAAGTTTAAAACTAATTCTTGGCCTGTGGACTGCCTTCTAACAAAGATACCATTCCACATAATTTCTGTCTGTTATTTCTGAAATGTGAATATTAAAAAAAAAAAAAAATAAAAAAAAATAAAAATCTTTTTCTATCTGAAGGCTTCCTAATTCCAGACCATTTTATCCAAGTTCAACAAAATAAATTCCTGGGATGAAGAACTGAAAGTATTGGGGACCTTTACCTACAGTAGATCTACAGGCAGCTACAGGATAACAATGGAAAAGGAAAAGCTAACTGCCCTACTAGAACTGCTAATTTTCATTATTCCTCCCCCAAGAAAAAAAAAAAATCAAGATGACTATACCTTGAAAGAGGTAATCTTCAGTGTTCATGTCTGGATTGTCAGTGATAATATCAAACGGAGACCTTCCTGCCATCATTTCAAACATCAACACACCGAGAGCCCACCAGTCCACACTGAACCCTGTAAATATTTACAGAGCAGATTTTCAGCCAGGACTCCTTGAATCTAGGTGTTATCTCTCTCATATAAATGAAGCTTAATGGCCTGGTTCTACAAAGTACTGAAATTCTCTACTTTCACTGAAGCCACAGACATCATGACTTACACTGTCATTGGACGAGACCTGATAGAGTTTTCTGAATTGGGATTACAACGGTAATCTGTACAGGAGTTTGTAGGCATCTGCCAGACAGCAATGCTTCAATGAAAACTCAGTGTATTTACGCTGAAAAGTTACAGGTGATTTTTTTTTAAAAAAGTTGAACATTATCATATCTTATAACTAAATGACAGCTTCAACCTATTAGTCAAATCAGCTCACAAATAACACCACTAGTTAAAAAGACTATTAAACTTTTGAATTTTGCATGAGCAATAACTTATTATAGAATTCTATAAGCTCATCTGGCAGTAGCTGAGACATGAAGTTCTTCAAGGAGTGGACTTGGTTTTGCTACAGTATCATTTAATGGTTATTTTTTCAGGGAAAGCATAATTCAAAAGAAGCCGAAATGAGCGATTGTAAGAGAAAAAGAAAGATAGTCTTATCATTTCAGAAAAAAATTAAACCGTACAATATGCATTCAATTTTCTCAACATATAATGGTACAAAAATATGGAAATGTAAAAATAATTGTATATGAACCAACCTACAACTGTAATTTGCTTTGTGATTTATTAGAACTACAAATTACTTAGTCACAACTTACCATATTCTTCTCCTCTGAGGATCTCTGGTGCAATATAATTTGGTGTCCCACAGAAAGTGCTTGTAGTGTCACCAGGGCCCAAACCTTCCTACATGCATAAATCATTTCACAAATTAAAAGCTGACCTTCTTTTCCAGGAACTTTCCTGAATTAGACTTATAAAGCCAAGTTACTCAGGGAATCTAGAGATATTCCTTTCCAAAAAGGCAATGCTAGAGCAAAATCCATACTCATAGGGCTCGAAGCCGACTCAGCACTTTAGAGCTTACCTTCAGCAAATTAAATTGATTAAATCTGAGTCACAACATTTATAACAACATTTTTTGCTTACTATTTGCAGACACATTTTACAAAAAAATTCAGATCAAAACCAATTTGGAAGTCCTTTTCAACAGATGTTACAAAAAACCTAATTTTAGGAATGAAAGAATCAAACTTTCACACAACTGCGGCATTCCAAGCGAAGCCCCACAACACCTGCACTTTGGTAGTGGAGAAACATTCTAGTCAGCATTTTAAGAAATCGGTGCAATATCTGTTCTATGGAGAGAATGAGACAAGCTTTCCTCAATATGTCACTGTTACATGCCTTAACCACATTCTGGAATGCAATCCATACTCACAGGAGCACAGTTACTATGAGATTGAAAAGACCCTTTTAAAAACATACTTGTTTTAAAGATACATTTTCTAGCGTGGGTCACGTAGGAAACTATTTAAATAGATAAAAGAAATTAACTTGGGCAACAGGCCAAACTTCTTCTGTCCCCCCAAACCACCCACATTACTTGAAACACACAAAGGAAAAAATTACGTGTGGTTCTACTCTTCAAGCATCATTTTTCAGAATAAAGTTTCTATTTCAAAACCAAATTCTGGGCTCAGTAAAGCTAGCATTAAGGACAACTTTTCTCAGTTTTCTCTTAATATCACTGAATGCAGTATTTGACTTCAAAGCATAACCAGAGAGACATACCACCGAATCACAAAGCGATAAAAGAAAGGTAAGAAGAATCCTACCTTGCACATGCCATAATCTGTTAATTTGATATGACCCTCTGCATCTAAAAGAACATTGTCTAGTTTTAAGTCTCTGTAGATTATGCCTCTTTCATGTAGGAAGTTTAGAGCAATACAAATTTCAGCAGCATAAAATCTGTAATTAAACCAGAAAATTCATATTAGCATTAAGATCGTACAAAAGTTCGTGCAATTTATAAAAATTTGTTCTTAAAACATCACTTTGCAGTCAGGTTTTCTCTATCAACTGTATGCCAACAAAAAGCTACATTTATTCATAAGGACACTGATCTCCTATTGTCAAAGCATTCCTTAAACTAAATTCGGGAAAGTATTTTTTTTAATGCTACTAATTAAGAAAATACTTTTTTATCCTACGGAATTTCCCCTGAAAATTCCAGGTATGATGTAGAAGATCTGTATTTTCAGCTTAAGAGTTATGATGAGACTTTATATAGTGCAAAGCCATGCAAAATAGACTCTTTTTTTGTCTTCTCCTACCAACACTATATTAATTCAATGCAAGACCAAAATAAATAGAATAGTTATATCTTGTATCAACAGATCAAAGAAGCTTTACTTAAATATGAAACAATAAATAAAATTAAATAGAAATAACTGTTACTACTTATCAAATGCTGGCTTTCTTTAAAAAAGTATATAAATAAAATTAACATTTCTTCCCACGGCAATACATTCTAAACTTAAGAACCAACCTTTCGTTCTTTCTCTGCTACTCATTCTTTAATAGAATAGAGTTTGGAAAGCATATCATACAACATCGAACAACTACAACACAAAAACCCCGCTACAGTTGTGTTAGTAAAGTACCTTGCATGTTCTTCAGGAAGTTTTCTTTGCCGTTGCATATGAAACATAAGATCTCCCCCATTTACATACTCTATGACTAGAAACAATCTGAAAGTATATAACACAATTAATGGATTTCAAGGAGACCCAAAAAGAAAAGCTATTCTTATCCTTCCAATTTCAACCATTTTCACCTCCACTCTTGAATGAGACTTCTAGGTTTCTTACAGTTACAGAAACTATTTAAGAGAAAAAAAGAGAGTACTTATTTGACCCATATTATGTAGGATCACATCTTTTATTTACATGACAGACTAAATGTAAAGGAGAGGCAGCTGCATACAACAGGCTACTATTTGGTGTGAAACCTAGAGGACTATTTAAACAGTACAAACAACAGCATTTGCCTAATATAATGAGGAACTCACTGGGCGATAGATGTAAAAGCATGTAAGGATATACAGACTTTGTAAAAAGTTACTTAGCAATAATAGCTAAACCAGGGAAGTATGCTAGAAGATGACACATGGCAAAAAAGAAAGTTTATCCAAAAAAGGTTAAATTGTCATTCGTTTGCAAAAAGACACCACCACCACAGGTACATAGCAATCTCTTACTCAATGATGTTGATTCTTTTTACTTGTATGGAACCAACTACACCAGTGTAAAGTGGGCTCAGCAAGTGCACTGCTTTGAATAACATCTGATTGACTGGGGAAAAAAAAAAGCCTGCCTGCAACAATGCTGATTATTTAAAATAAAGGTTTTAAGACAAAAAAACACTTGAAATGATGCATCAGTTTAAATTCAAACCTTTCTTATTATAAGGTAATCAATCTGTAATCTGACACAGATTTCCCTGATTTAATAATTATTAAACTGCTACTCTTGTTGACTAAACATTGGTTTTTTTACAGCAAAGCCGCAGCATGAAATCCGAACAGCTTTGTAGGTGAAATGTAGTTTATATACATCTAAGACAACAAGGTTTCTGCATGAACAAAATCTAAAACTTCTCATGTGTATTTTTGATACAGTTTTGCCATTAAAAGGTCACCATCTTTTAAAAAATTATCATCATTAACAATAATTAATGAGTATCTAGCAATATTACAGAGATCAATATGTTTTGTGGAATTTGAGATATCAAATATATAGCCATAAAGCTTGCTGTTTGTGTTGGTTCAGTTCCTGAAAAGCTCCAACAGATCTACTGAAAGCAAGATGACAAAAGACTCACTTAAAATCATGTAACCCAAACTGACTTTCAAAAAAACCTAAGTTTTGTCTGAATGGCATACGACACAATCTTTTTTTCCAATTAAAGTTACATGATCCAACATATTATTAATTACACATACAAAATTATTTCTGTTAAATCCTATGATCATCACTGAACTCTTCCTGATACCCTGTTATGAAACACACTGTCATTCCTTGAAGAAAAAAAAATGTTCGATTTGTATAGACCGAGACAAAGAATCTGAGGACTGAGAGACTCAATTCACATATGTCCATCATTTATCAGAGATGAAAGCTAAATTTGGTGAGCTAGCAGGACAGATAATGAAATGCCACCCTCCCTTGACTTAGCCAAGACCTTTATCTGTAGAAAAAAGTGATTCAAAGGGAAGTGTAAAGGACCCACTTCTGTAACTCTCTACATAGCATATTCACTGAATGGAAGATCTGGGCACAGAAAGGCTGCAGCACGAAGGCTTATTAGTTCCTCTGTAGAACAAGTTTTTTGAAACAGTCTTCTCAAAACAAATGAGAAAAGTCAGCAGGGGAAAGAAATATATGTGGAATCAGCTATATAAAAAGAATTCTATTACAGTTTGCAGGAAAGGTTTCATGCTTGGGAAAATATGATCCAAGCAAGGCTGCCAAGGTCAGAGAGACCTACAGGACAGAAACATGCTGAGGGAAAGTTTCTTATGAAGGTTGCGGCTGTCCCAGGAGGCAGGATTTCTTTATACACCTAATTTTCCATGAGTTAGAAACTCATTTCCATATATTCACACACTGGAAAACAATTTGGAAAACACACGCTGCAGTCTCAGACCATTCTAACTGGTAACAACTCAAGATTTTTTTTCGCCTTTGAAAAGGATTCTTCATTTGAAACACTTAAAGCGTTAAAATCTTAAACCAGGAAAAATTATTGGACACAAACCACCTTGCAAGTCTTTCAGTGGCCTCCCACAAGAATATAAACACTAAACTAAAATTAAATAAACAATAAATAAAATAGATAACAATGCCATGAGTATTTTATTACAGCATTCCACAAAAGCCCCACACATCTAAATTCCCCAGTGACATACATAAGCATAGGCATAAAAGTTCTCCTTGATTTTCTTCATATTCCAGTTGCAAAATAAGAAGCAAATAACCCACTGTGGATTGTGCACACAAGGACAAAAAACTAGGATTTCAAAGTAGCTAAAAGTTTATTCAGCACTTTTCCAAAGGAAATCACATACTTCATCAATATGCGCTAAAGCCTCATAAGCCTCATATACGTAAACAATACTTCATGTATATATAGGTTTTTAAGTTATTATTAAAAACTATTATTACTGAGCAGCCCAATTCTCAAGCTATTTTTAAAAAAAGAACTACAGTTTGGCCCTCTGAGCACTGATTCAGCCCTCCTCAGCAGAATCAGATATCATAAACTGTCTCTTACAAAGCTGCTTTACCCTGCTACCATCCTCCTATTCCTGAAGCCCCACAGCGTGTGCTCAGGAAGACAGCGCACGCTTCCTCCTCATTCTCACTCATCTTCTCCCTTCACATCCGCACCTGGAAAACCCTGCCTTTGTCTCCACACCACACTGGTTAAGCTACACTGCTAGAACTGGCTTTGCTGTAGTAGGGAATCCCTGGCAACACTAATGCTTCCTTCCAAAAATTACCGACCATGCGATGGCAGTGGTTACTTTGGCTTTATGAGAAGCAGTTAGTACAATGATCAAGATTTTAAAAACAAAATAATTGCAGATCTTTCTTACCGACTTGTTGTTTGAAAGCATGAATGTAAACCAACTAGGAATGGGTTACTGGATGCCTGTTCAAACACATGTTTCTCTGTCTGTACCCAATCAATATCCTGAAATAGAGTAATTGAACAATCAGAACTCCTGCTGGATAACCACTGCGGCTATTCCCAGAAAAAAAATTGTGAACATCTATGCTGCCTTACATATACCATCACTGTTACATATGTTCTTCAGACAGACAAAACCACCTAAAATCTGGAGGAAGTTATAAAACATTTTAATTCAATGATATATTCAGAAGTTTCTTAACCATTTGGAAAGTTCTGCACAAAATTTAAGCCATTTAAAAATATCATACATTTGCAATATTTGATACACTGCTCATACTGCTTCATAGAAATAAATTCAATTATCTTAGATAAATGATCCTAAGGCTACTGGAACAACCCCTGCCAGTAACAAACAACGTGAATCTCCAGTTTGTAAATGGTTCAAATACACTGAACTTCATTTTCTCATCTGAAACTCAAAATAAATTCAATAAAACCACCAAAACCTGATTAGTTTGTCCAACCAAAATAATTCTTAAAGGTGTCACAGACTACCTTTAATACTTCAGCAGGGAGAAGTCCTGAACACCCAATGCAATACCATATAATAAAAACTTCTCAAAACCTGAATGATACTAGCACATTACTGCAAAATTCAGATCCATAAAAACAAAGCATTTAATCTTTTTTTTATAACCATACAAAATTTAAACTTTATGGACAACTGGGTTTAGCAGTAGATATTCACTCTTCATGCACTACACTGATCATGTTCCACCTCACAAACATTCAGCATCCTGCCAACAAATTATAAATACAATTATTCTAAAAATTCTCCATTTCCAACAGATACTTCTGTCTTTCCAACCAATGTAGGGGCAACAAAGAGAGATACTGAGAAACCAGGCCCTCCTGTCAAGGACAGTTAGTGAAACTAAAGTCTCAAAGCAGTTCAAGAAATGTCACCATCAAATTAAATAAATCTTAGGCTTTGTATTCAGACACTCCTGAAGATACAACACCTTGGAAGTGTAACCTGAGTCCAAACATGAGTCAAAAATCCAGTTCTGAATAAAACAATAAACATGTCCACTTCTTTTGTTTTTACTGACTGAGCTTCTCTAAGAGTCTTTAACCCCTTCATTATTGCACTTGTGTACTAGTACATTAGTGTTCTACTACAGCACTACTGTTAACAAGATTAACCTTAGAAAAATTTAATAGCAGAAGCCCAGGTATTTGACTTGCTTCAAGCTCATTTAGAAAAGAATCTTTACTTCTCTCCAATATCAACCATCACCTGGAAAGCACTAGCTAATTTAAACATACTAATACTTGCTATGTAATTAATTTTTTTCCTCCATGAAACACCTACTAGGTGAAATGTCCCTTACTGGCAAGATCTCATGCATTCACAGAATTCAGTGAATTTCCTATCAATTCCCAGAATTTCATAATGCAGCCTATCTTACAGAAAAGAAAAACCAATTAGCTCAATTTTCTATGTAATTATCTATGAGAATCGCTACTCAAGAAAGACTTTTCTCCTCTACCTCTGATTCTCATGAACAACTGTATAACTCATTAAGTAACACTTCTCTTTCGCTTCTACCTTCTTGGAAAAACACATGTCAAAGGAAACAGTAAACAAACCACACAACAGTCTCTTTGGTCATAAAAAGAAACATCAAATAAATGAGGAAGCCAAAATATTTTAGAACTTTATAACTTTACTCTCCTAATCCAGGAATAATGACAAAAATGGCATCCAGAAAAACTGTTTGAAACTAGCAACACAAGCGGCACTTAAAATAATGTTTTGGGATTTTTCCATCATCTTACTTACAAGAAACCCAGTGTTCCTAACAGCATAAAATTAATACAACATCATAGCCTTAAAAACTGTATTCTATTTGAAATATTCACTTTCTATTGTAAGAATAACTATATAAGAAAGTCCCTACAAGGTGGGACTGATTGTTCATCTCTCATTTTATTTTACTAGAGTTTGGGATTCCACCCACACAGATGACACAGTACTACTTTACTCTCTGAACATTTAATGGTGTCATACTTCATGTGCCCCATCATCCACGCCACCACTCCGGCATGAGCACGTCACACTGCAGTGCTCTCCTGAAGCTGGAGGCCTGACACCACCCGTTACAGTTCCATCAGGTCTCACAGCTGTCTTCTCCGGGCCGTGGTCTGACCACATGCACTCCAGTTACCCTGACCCCTCTTCCATTACTTAACACAGCAGGTTCCAGTCTAATAGCATTGCAGGTGGTTCAAATCTGCCTTCCTTGCTTGCTGTGACTGGTTCATCACATTTATTAAAAATATAGAATAGATATAAAATCTATAGCTTTCAAGAAATGTGAATATTATAGGAAAAAGATGAAGGATTGGTGTTTATTTTTACTTTTTTCCCCCCCTCCACCCAAACTTCTGCATTTGAGATCCTGTATTACAAAAATTTCAACAGCATTTTGAAAATAATCAAGAAATCCAGCACTGATTTCTGTGGCAGCCAGTTTGTTTTACAAGCCAGCTAAACCACAGTGACCTCACAAGATAACAGCATATTTTTTTAAACCCATGGAAAAAAATATTCCAGAGTACCGTGTCACTTGCACATAAGCTCTATAATTGTGACTAAGAACACAGTTGCAGCTCCTGTTCTGAAATACAGATGATACTTTACAGCCACATTCATTTGCCTTGGGAAACCTCTTTGTTTTCTTCCAAAATTCAGTGCCCAAACTCCACGCTATTTATGTCATCACTTATAGATTAGCACATTCAGGTTGGAGTACTTTTCACATGCATTCTACCAAGCCTATTAACAATTGTTAATTGTTGCTAAATTCAGGGACATTTCTCTCAGATTTTATCTTGGTGCTTCACACAGACAGTTAAAGACAAGTGAGCTCAAAGGCCAGTAAAATTTCTATGACAGAAATGCTGTCTAAAACCTTAGCTGCTTTCTTAGTTGAATGTTTTTAGTTAAAGCATACGATGTTTTCACACTATGTAACAGAATGCAATTAACACAGACTTTTACCTCATCATCATGGACCAATTCTTTTTTCACTACTTTCATAGCATAAATTTGATCATTCTTTTTTAATCGAACTAAAAGAACTTTGGCATAACTTCCACGTCCGATAACTCTGATTAAATCAAAGTCCTGCAGTCCAAGCCCCTGAGAAATCTTAATTCCATCCATTCCATCAATGACTGGTTTGATATCCTGTATAAAAAGAAACAGATGCTAGAAACAAGACATTTTCATAACAAGTAACTATTAAAGCAAAGAGGTCTAACCACCAGACAGAATTTGCTGAGTTTCCTTGCCATTGTCACAGGCATACAGATCTGAATAGCTGATTCTAACACATATGTTTAGAAATGTTTCGTTGGTATTGGTTTTGCTCTTACTAAGAAGTTACTGTGTTTTTCAAGGCAGTAGTTCATGCAATTTGTCATTTAAATATTCCCTACTGGAAAACAGACGCCAATGCCTTCAGAAATAAAGTTTTATTCAAATTCTTGAACTGTAGGCCATGTAGAATTATCCTTTGTGCTATGTGAAGAGCATCTTTCATATTGACAAATATTGTGGCACTAATAAATAAAGGCTATCTAAAAGGAAGACAGATAAGGAAACAATATACCTGTCTTGGTTCCAGTTCAGGCAACAGCTGGCTGTGCCAAGTTCACTACAGTTTTAATGAATCTGAAGATTTCTAATAGTTGTTCAAGAACATACAGAAGCAGATGCCAATTTTTCAAATGTGAGAATTTGCAGGAAATTTTCCACTATGAAGAATGTTATTTTAAAATTCACTATTTATAAAGACAAAATTTATCTTGACTGTTTGCTGGAATTAGATGTGAACATGTGAGACTGAAGAGAAAGCAGTTGAATGAGACAAGTGCAGCATGTACTTTGACATTTCATGTTTTACCAATATATACAATGCCTTGACATACTTCCGTGGCCTATTTTTATCTGACCTCACACTACTGTACTCATAGACAGATCAGCATTCTGCTGAACTATGGGAAGTATTTATATAAAGCATCTTGATCTAGGATTGACTGCTATTAGAAGAGATTGCTCTCAGCTTAAAGATTCTAGTCAACAAAGCTCCCAGAATGCCACTTCCTCTCCATAGGATATCTTAAATTATTTCAGTAAAGATCAAAAGCAAGGTGAGAAAATCAGAGCAGCAAAATTCAGGACAGTTGAGCAAACAGCATCTATCAAAATTTAAACACAAACAGTATCTACCTGAGCACTAACCACAGCAGAATTCAGCAATTCTAGATAGCAATTAAAATTCTCTGACCTGTTTTAAATTTATACCCTTCCATCCCTGAATTTGAGATAAATATCTACATACATGTGACCGAAAATAAGGCAGTCACCCACGAGCAGAAACTACTCAAGTGTGAAATAATGGTAGTGACAAGTATTGTAGTGGAGGTAGAGGGGAAAAAAGGTGCAGGCTTGTTAGAAGTGGGATATCAAACTAACTGCTAGCATTCTGCAGAGTGCATCTTCTTTATTAAATATGCCAGAAGCATTTTTAAAAGAAATGTGTTTAGAAATAAAGCATACTGGCATTTTTAAAACTGCTTTAAGGGAATAACATTCTTCGTATGTAGAGACTGTGTCAGACCTTCTACAAAAGAGTTGAAAATCCCAGTTTAAACACATGTTATTCTACTTGTATCTCCATAGAAGCTGTCTATAAATTGTTAGGTATTATTTATATGAAACATCTCAGAGAGGTGGATAGCTAATGTATTACCAGACTGAACCAACTTGGATAATGACAGCCTGCAGAGGTAGCCTGAGGGTAATAAAGGGTGTACATCCATTAGCGAGAGCAGACAAGACAATGTCAAAGCCACCATTTGTTGCAAGGACCAATAGTCAAACCCCCTGCTAAATCACTGTTGTTCCAATATGAATGAAGGGGAGAACAAAGGAAAAAGACTCTCTCACATCCTGATTGGGATAGCTAAGAGCCATATACAGAAGAAATCTGAAAAATCCAACAAAAGTGCTTAAAAAAATTTTTAGCAAGAAAACCCAGACTTCTTTTCTTAAAAGGGAGCAGAAAAAAAAAAACAGAATAATTAGCTATTTTATAAAAAGTTCTATGATCAAGAGTGTGTAAATGTGAATTACAAATATATTTTTAAAACATACCTCAGAGTCATCTTTGATGTTGTCATGTTTCCTGTTTGAAGGAATGTAGGGAACTGGAAAAGAAATCAAACAAGTAGTGTAGTTAAGGCTTTCATTAGAAATAATTTTAAAAACTGATAAACAGACAGATGTAGTAGCTTAGGGTCAGCAGTTTGCTTTAAATACTACAGGACAGTTGATCAAATTTTTCCACTTTTTTCTCATAATCCTGACAGCAGATCCTAAGCGCACTGCAGAAACAACCAACTCTGAGACAGCAAGAAATTCATCAATGAACCTTTGAGCTCATAACGGTACCTGACAGGAGCCAGAGTCATTTTGGAGAATGGGTATGATAAACGGGCCCTTAAAACAGGACAGGTTAAACAATCAAAAATGTTAACCTAGGAACAATACTGCAAATTGCACAAAATTAAGAAATGAAGTCTGGGAGCACACTTATATTAGCATCATAGTTTGGACTTGCAGTGCAGGTGCTTTTTTTTAAAAAGTAAATTTGTTGTTGACAACTGCTCCGTGCTTAACTTCACATTCTGGAATTGTTTCAGAGCATATGAATTCGGGATGGAACTGAAGCAGACAATATGCTTCAGAAATACATTTACTATAACTGAGTCCCTAATGAGCATTTCATCCACAGGACTAAACTAGAGATAATCCAAAGTAAACTTCATAAAAAAACAAACAGGTGGAGTAGAAACTGGGTCTCCAAATGGGGAAACACACGAATTCCAACTTAACAAGAAAGCACTCACGTCCATCAGTTTCTTCTGAAGGGAGGTCAACTTCATCATTTTTATCATCTAACTGAGGTTCCTGGGAAGGCATGACCGAATCCTGGCAAAACACAGAAGTCATATAGGAAAAAAAGTCAGTTTATACAGTCCTTTTTAAATAAGTATGTCTTGTCATGCAACTACACTACAATGACTACCTTACATTTCTATCTTCCAGAATGAAAACTGGAAAGTATTTCTGAATATTACATTTTGTAATGCATTATAAAACCAGCCTACCAAAAGCCTAACTGCTATGTCAACCATTCTCGGCAACTACAACAGACGTTTAGCTGTCTTCCAAAAGTCAGATTAGTGTATCTTATTGAGAAGTTCAAATTTTAATTCTATTTAAGACTTCTGAGTGTTTCACATGGAACTGCAACAAAGTAAACACTTCAGCATTATGTTACACACTCAATTTAGTGCACTGGCATATTCATTTCCCGTTTAAAAAAAATCCGTTTTTACTCTGTGCAAAGGTATTGCATAAAATTGTAAAGATGACAATACCAGATAGTTTTCTAGTACATTTGGACCCTGGTCTCATTCACAACTCAGTGAGACAGGTAGGACTACTCCAGTAGGTATGGCAACATGCATAAATAAATTGGCAAATAATCTAGTGATGTCAATGCAAGACATTTGCAATACCAGTTAAGAAAAATAGTGGTTCAAGTTTTGAGTTAGAGACAACATCATGCAGCAGCCAGCGAGATACTGGTTATAGTCTGTGATGAGTATGAGGAAGGGCTAAAATTCAGGGATACAGATTAATGTTTCAAGCCTGGGGAAGACACTGGAGTTGCCACTGGGATATACGAGGGAAATGGAGAGGATGAGAACAGTATTGGAGAAACTGAGATGGCAAGAACATGAAAGCAACAAGCCTTTTTGCAAGTGGTAGTGCAAAAACTACACCAGTGCCTCAGTTCTTAAAACACTGCCATAGGCCAAAAGGAACAAACGCTTAGACTGTCAGTGAAGAACTCTATTTGTAAAATACAATAGGTCTACTGGAGAAGCCAACCTCAAGCTTACTCACACTTCAGCCACATCACAAATTTTGTTTTCTCACTTTGTCTCTATCACTTACAATTCAGAGGCTTGACATTTCAGAAACTGAAAGCCAATTACCACCAAGTATTATAAATTTACAACCATGCACAGCGTTTCATTACTTTGGATGCACATCTAGAAACAGCAACACAGGGAATAACAAAACATCTTGGCTTTATACAGAATGCAAACTTACCATATGCCTTTTGCAGGTCAGTGGAACAAAGATATGACAACGTTTATGGACCAGCAATTTGCAGTTGATACACTTGTAGCCTTGCCTTCCGAGACCCCATATCCTTTCACTGCACTGGCCACAATACGCTCTCTAAAAGCCAGAATGCATATTATCAATGTAATTATCAATTCCTTTCTACCGGTGAGTAGTTATCTAGCAGCAAGAATCCACCCTACAAGAACCCATCCTAGTCACCTCCTAACAGATGTTGAATAATAATTCTTCTAGAATATCCAGGGTTTTCCTAATAACTGACAGTTACAGTCCATACTTAGAGTTCAGCTAAATGGGGTCCTTTTTTAATGAATGTTAAGAAAACAAATATCTCAAGCATATGGAACACATTACAGCCTAAAATCAGCAAATCATTCTTAGAGAACAAGCATATTCTGAATTTCAGGTTCTGACAGAGGTTGCCCAAACAAAACTGACAGGAATTTGTACTACAAAATTATGCATAAAAAGCACCCAAACTGACTGCTTTGGAGAACACTGGCACAAAAAGTTACAAAAAACAAGTATTAAGAATGCTCTATATCTGCACCTATATACTTTAACAGTGGTAGAACAGCAGTAGAAACTTTGCATCATTAAAGATCATGTATCAGGTCTGATGTAAAACCTCTGTATGTTGCACTATTTAGTATCAAAAATATATGGCCTTTTTTTTATGTGCAACAAAATGTATCTGAATAAATTAAATAAAAATGAGAACAAATCAATAAGCCAGACATCCTGCTGCTGACTTGAACAGGGTAGGTCTTCAAATAATTTTTCCAGTGTATGTGCTCTGTGGTCATTTTATCCACTTCACCCAAAGTGCCAAATAGCAATCTGAGATTCTTACATGCCAGGAAGTCACCTACTTTCAGTTATCCCTCTACACAGTACACAGGTGGCCAACAGAAGATTTACTCATTATTCCCTATCTGCAGTTTTGCTCCAATAACTACTGTAACAGGGTAAGACACTGCCTGTCATTCTGCAAGCTGCACGTAAATCCCCGCACTCATCCCCACTTCAGGCTTAGACAGAACTCTGCAACTGTCCCAAAGCCACAAAACAGTGGAAGTCTGTTCCTCCCAGCAAACTGCAAGTTAGAGTGCGGTTATTCAGATCCTCAGACTGATGAATCACACACGGTGTCCTGCCCAAAAGTATTAAGCTACTATAAATCCTTACTAGTAGTACTAAAAAAAAAAAAAAAAAAAAAAAAAAATCGATCAGAGTGGATCATTTAAAAAAAATATTTGCTGTATTGCCTGTCTCATATTTTGATAGTTGTAGAAAACAAAACTACACTCCGTTCATCTGTACAGTCAGTCCCCCTTGATGAGGAGAAACCCAAACTGCATTGCCCAGGGAAAAAACCAAAAACCATACTGCCTAACAAGAAAGGAAGCTCTGGGCATCTATAGCCACTTCTTTCCTGCTCCATCAGACTTCCTTCAGTATTCTTGTATAGGTGTGGCAGCAGTACTATTAAGACTAAATAACATGTCTTAGGCTCTGGAAATGACATAAAAGACAATAACCTAATTTATTTCAGTCAGATGCAGGGAAGCAAAGAGGGGGGGGAAAGGATGTAGGGGCAGCTCCCAAATTCCTTCAGTAATACAGGTATCCCTCTCACACCTCTCCAAATCACATAGAAACACAGCAACAACAAAGAGCTAAGCATGACATTATGTTCAACAAGATTAAAGTTTAGATCCTTGCATGTGTTCATTTATTTGAATTATCTGAAAAAAAAATTTAAAAGTTACTTTAAAACAGGAACAAATTCATCAGGTAATGCCCCAGTCTTAAAAATTTGGTCAACATCAATAAATCATAGTTTATTATTAATGTGTACATTTTAATGCCACATTTCACAGTTCATGTCAACTTTATCACTAACTTCAGTTGGATATGGCTTGCGTTCTGGCTTTATGTGATTTCATTTGTATACAGACAGTTATAATAAAGTAGTCTTGTTTCGGAGTGTTGAGAAATGGGCATACTAATGAGGTTTCAAAATCTTTATGTGTATATTCACTATTTGCCTGATTTCAGTTAAAACCTTATTGTCTATAACATGGGTTACTAATGTGTCAGGTATGCATTCACAATGTTTCAAAGAAATTGGTTTTAACCATGTAGCAAATAAGCACAAAAAGTACACGTTTCACATTATAAATTAAAAACCTTGAGTTGGCACACCACATTATACAAATGCATGTTATAATTCAGATGCATGACATTTTTCACATATCTAGTGATAAGGTACTGAGTTTTAAGGGGCTTTTCCTTGTTTAAATGGAGTTTTTGGGGTGCAGAGCATTAGGAAAAAAATGCTAGTTTCATTTAAAAAAAAAGTTACTGCTGAATCAAAAAGCGAACTCACCTCACTGTACCCAGTTTTGTATGGAACTCCCCAAAGTCTATCCTACATTTGTATATCTGCTGCAATACTTAGGCATAATGGGATAAGTGAAGGAGGTGTCTCAGCCTTAAAGCTACATTCACTTGCATATGTGGATTAAGATAGATTCTTAACACAGTTGTATTTTAGCTCAATAAACCAGGTTTTTTTTCCTTAATTGGATGATGTAATACCTCAGACTCAAAACAGTTACAGCTAACATCAAGAGTTTTAATCTTTAAGAATGACAGAAAGTACTGAAAGGAAAAGATTATGCTAACAAGCAATCAAAACCACATAAAGAGTGCAGAGGAGAAATGCTGTTCTAAGTATACATCAGTTTAACAACCACAAAATCAGTTTTTTAGAGACTATAGAAATAATTTCCACCACCCTTGTATTATCAACTCCATCCCAGATTCAAAGAGTTTCAAGTTTTTCTGATTGTTATGACCTGAATAACACTGCAGAGACTGAGAAGTCACATGAATAAGCATCTTGCTTTTCCTTTCTTTTCAACGCTCCAATACAGAAAAAGCACAGACTAAGAAAACAATCACCACAGAACATTACCAAAACCTAACATTTTATGCAACAGTACTCACTCTGTTAAAACGTTTGGCTTGAAACAAATGCCCATTCACTCGGTACAGCTTCCTCCATCTTCTGGCTCCACGTCGGTAGATGGATTCTAAGAAAGAAATCAAAAAGGTGTAAAGCAGCAGCATGGGAGCACAGCAATACCAGACACGCTAAGTTAAGCAAGTTGTGACTTCAAACAATCTTGCTTTTCTAAACACCAACGCACAGCTAAAACCCCTCCTGGTTTTGTTTTATTTTTTTTTTTAAAAGCCAGCCGTAAATGACAGCTTCTGCAGGATGTGCTTTCACCACTGCCTCTCCCTTTTCTCTATCCCTGTCTCTTTTTCCTCACATGATCATAATCTTGTTAGAGTTCTTTGGCTGCTCGCTGTTCGAGCGCAGGTGAGAGGAACAGATCACTGTTAAAGGAACAGCTTCCTCCGGGGAAATGACGATGCTGATCTCACCGTGTCACCTTCGTATGTAAACACATAAAGGGTGTTTGGTTGTAATAACACCTCAGATATGCAATATTAAAGAAGTTACAAGTCTTGAGAGTTACATTATTCAACCTCATTTTTATCTTACCATTAAACATTACCAAAATATTTATTCTGTTAGGCAAACAGTTCAAGTGCAGGTCTGCAATTCTTTCTAATATATTTTAAACGTAACAAGAAATAGTTTCATCTGTTTAAGCCAGACTTTCCCAGAGGCCATATGTGACAGCACCTAGCACCTACTCCAAACGACTTTTGTTGTCACTTTTCACATACACATGGGCAATTTTTGCATGACCAGCTAATTGGACAATTTGATATTTAATAGAGTGTTAGTGCATGAACAGTCCCATTCAGAGCCCACACAGCTGTAACGGGGACACAGCCCAGCCCTGCCACATCACCAGGATCACGAGCTTGCCACAGCAGGCAACACAAGTGGGTCCTGGATGGAGTGGGGAGTACAGGGGGGGAAAGAAGAGGGGGTAAGTTCAGCAAAAAACTCAGCAGTGATGTTAAAACCGACAACGTACTCTCTTTTTTTTATTTTTTAGCCTCTTAATAGCAGGAGTCAGATCTGGCAAGGTTTTAATTGGTGAATAATTACTTCTAATTACACCTACTAAGTGGTTCAAATTTAGGTGTTCTCAAAGTTTACTGTAGTATGTAGAGTTAACAAGCATATTTTAGACAGCGAGACAAGTCTGACACATTCCCTTAAACATTTCCAGGAAAAGTATTTTACAGTGTTTTTATGGGTGTTATAACATCCTCTTACTTGAAAAAGAAATGTGAAAGACTAGAATAACTCTGATTTCCATATCATGATTTTACAGCTACATCCCATAACATGATGAGTAAGATATTCCAGTACAAACTTTTACATATGCCTTTTAAAAAAAAATATTTATACTAGTTATAATGCAACCTAACACATCTGGCAGCTTGTACAAAACATGTTTCATGTACTTTGAATAGGAAAATTTTTAAGTACAGCAATTTCATAGGGAATGGAGAACAGCATAGGAAGTGTAACTGTGAGAAGACAACAGTGAAATATACACTTTAATGATCACTTGCGATGGCTACATATATGCTGTACATGGTACCTAGGTACACTGGTTCTGCCAACCAGAACAACTCAGTTTCATAATAAGCCAATTATATTTGGTCAATATAAAGTGATATGTAAGATGATCCTCACTTCTTCCCTGTGTGGGGGTGTGGTGTGTTTTCTGTTTATTTGCTTTCAACCTGGGCATCCAACATCACATTAGCTGTTAAAGCTGTCCTTTAATCAGTCTAATACAAGTGAAACAATCTATAATAATCAATATTGTATGTAGAAAAATATGCACTCAACTAAAATGTCCCAGACAATACAGCAAAAAAAGCAGAATACAAACTTTGACAGACTTGCTTAATAAACATTGTTACATTCTGACAAGTTATTAAACTGCAAATTTATAATCCTCAGAATTTAATGCAAAACCACCTTAAAGTTTCATCTTTAATGCTTCTGTCTTTCAAGTTTTAAACAGTTAAGTTTTAAATATCCACACCTAATCAGAGATGAAGTCTCTTTTTTATTAAAAAACCCAAACAATTTCACTGTCAAAAGACAATGCAAGCAGTAAATATTTTCTGTGTTGAAGAATTATTTTAACTTAATATTGAGCAAGCAAAAATCCCAGGCTACTGACCTACAATGTGTGAACGCCGACTGCAACACTGGGTCTGATTTTAGATGCTTTTGAAGGACAAAAATAGAGTAAGGTGTGCAAAAGGATTGAAGTTTCTGTGACTCCACAAATCTACAGTGCCAAATCCACAAACGTTCATATGTTACTCTATTTGCATGTGCAAATGTTTACTTTGCAAGCATTTGAAACAGACATTGCATTATTAAATAAATTGTTAACAATTTGGGGGTGGGGGGAGAATAGCAACTTCTCAAAGGAGGTGAAAGACTGCATGCCACAAATGGCAAAGATACAGTTACTAGAATAGAGGTGTATCCCTTCTGTTTGACTCACGTAGCTCTTCAAAAATCTGCCAAATACAGACCTTAAAGTAAACAAAAAAACCTGTTTTTCTTAAGCGCAATGAAAATTTCAGTGAGAACCTAGCAAGACTATTGCAGAGTTTTTGCCTAAAAATAGGCTCAAACACAAACATTAATGAGAAACTGTCCCACCATTTGTAGGACTACTTTCCACCAAGCAAAGAAAAACTTCAGGATTTTTTCCAAAATTGCTAATTAATTCATTAGACAAAGCACCATATGGAGGCAACCTAATACATCTGTGTTCCGAACAGTAGCTTATCACTGACATGAGGAATATTAAGTGAATAAGTTAGAGCAGCTTGTGCTGATGAAGTCTGTAAATAAAGGAGCAAGCCACTTCCTTAATTAATGATAAATATTAAATCAAAGTCAGATTTTTATATCATAGACTTGTGACGCAACAGTCTAACAAAAACTGAACTTCATATAGCATAGCTTTAAAAGGTAGGAACCCCTACAGCTTGCCCCTATGACTGCCACCAAGTCAGTGCAGGGGCTGAGGCGAATCAATTCCTATCCCCCATCTCTAAAAGGGGCAAAGGTAAAAAAGAAAACGAGAAAACAGGGATCACTGTAAGATGCACCTTTATATCACAAGTTCTATTATTCTTATTACACAAAGTAGTGTATAAATTGTTCTTAGTATTGTCAATAGTAGCATTCTTTTTTGTAATCCATACTCGGTCAGTGGCACAACATCTAGTTGGAGCCCAGTGGGGACAACACTGGCTCCGATCCCATTCAATCTCCTCATTAATGACATGGATGGGGCAGAGCACACCTCAGCAAGCTCTCCGATACAAAACTGGGAGGAGTGGCTGATACACCACACAGTTGTGCTTCCAAAGAGACCTCAATCCCTGGAGAACTGAGCAGGCAGGAACCTCACGAAGTTGCAAGAGAAGTGCAGAGGCCCACCCCCAGGAAGGAATAACCCCATGCACCAGCAGTGGGGCCAACCAGCTGGAAAGCAGCTTTGAGGAACAGGACCTGAAGGTCCTGGTGGGCACCAAGTTGAGATGAGCCAACAATGCACCCTCGTGACAAAGGTGGCTAACAGAGTCCTCAGCTGCATCAGGAAGAACATTACCAGCGGGTCGAGGGAGGGGATCCTTCCCCTCTGCTCAGCACTGGGGAGGCCACGTCTGGAATGCCATGTCCAGTTCTGGGCTCCCAGTACAAGACAGGCATGGTGCTACTGAAGAGAGTCCAGCGAAGGGCCTTCAAGATGCTTACAGGACTGGAGCATCTCTTATATGAGGAAAGGTCGAGAGAGCTGGGACCAGCCTAGAGAAGAAAAGGCTCAGAGACATCTCAATGTATACAAACACCTGAAAGGAAGGTATAATTAAGACCAAGTCACTTTGTTTTCAGTGGTGCCCAGTGACAGGACTAGAGGCAACAGGCAGAAAAAGAAACATAGGAGGTTCTATCTGGCCATCAGGAAACTCTTCTTCACAGTGAGCATGACTGAGCACTGGCACGGGTTGCCCAGAGAGGTTGCAGAGATACTCAGAAGCCATCAGGACACGATCCTGGGCAGCCTGCTTAGAATAACCTACAGAAGTGGGCTAAAATGTATATTCTGTGTATCTAGTAACACTCATGAAAGAGGACATCCTCCCTAAAAATGCACTTAAGGATAACAGCAGATTACAAGAAGCATTTTGGGTTTTTTAATTTCATTATTACTCTGAAGCATTATCAGCTTCAAAAATCTTACAGCTATACTAGATCATTCTGAACAATAAGCAGATTCTTAAAATGGCAGTAAGTATGTATTTAGAAATAAAAAACAAAATTTATTGTCAGTGTTCTGTGTGATGTGTGAACAAAGCTCTAATCCTAGGCATGCATTTCACCCCTGCACTTCATATGGGGGAAAAGATACTTCTGAAGTGAAAGCAAATGTTTTGGTATGTGTTTCTAGAACATGTTAGAATAAAACAAGTAAGGGCTTCTGTGATTCTTGATAACCAAAAACTAAAATTTTTACAGCCACAATTGATCCCAGCCACCTAGAAAAAGGGATGTCTTCACAAAAGCATGAGTATTTCATTCCTGTGTTTAATGAAAAGAGGTACTTCATTTATTTTACAGTACACATCAGTTAACTCATTAAAGAGTTAACTCATCAGTTAACTCATAAAATGAGTTAGCTGCTTGGAGAATGAAGGAGACAGCACCCCCCTAATTAAACAAAGTAATCTTTCCTCTCTGATGGATATTAAACATAAGCCTTGCCTAACTAAAAAATAGCATTTTTTTGAATATTCATTTTGTACGTGAACAAGTTTAGAGGAAAACTCAAAGATATTTTATGCTGCTAACACGGATAACAAGTTTTTATTGAGGAACACAAATACATATTCTAGTTACAATGCATGTACTGAACTTCATCTACTTCCAAGACTGGAAAATTGGAGGGAATAAAAAAGAGACTATTTTTCACGTTAAGATTAAAGGGAAATAAAAATACTCAAACTGAATGCCTGAAACAAAATTAGCCAGCTGCCTCTAAATAAAAACCAGTGTGAAACA